ACTACACTGAACTAAATGTTAGTAAAAGTGACAAAATAAAATACTAGCAATATAAACCATTGCATTGGGTGTATGCCATATTACCAGGTGAAAAAAATTTATTGCAATTACAGGCTTTCATTATTTATTTCACTTGTACGTAATTACATCTTATACATGTCTATTTAGTAATATCAATCTGAGACATCATTTTGAGAATATAATTAACCGGATAGTAAAACAGAACGTGTGTCTGTTTTACTATTTTTCTCTTTATTTCAAAAAAGTTGGTCTTTGTTAGTTGTGTTTAACTGCCATCTAGAGTTAAAATGAATCCATTTCTTTTCCCCCTACTACTTCTCTTCAAAATTTTAGGCATACAGGCATACATGTTTTACTTCTATTTCACATCAAACAAATATTCATCAGACAACAAAACTGTAAAAGGATAACTTTACCCAATTTGTCAAACTACTGTTAGCAATTACACCCGCTGCAAATATTTAAAGTTGACTAAAAATTGAGACTTACATTTACACTAGTTAAAACGCTATTTTTGACTATATAAACAAGCCAATGAACAACCTAATACACATTTGGACTTTGGGAAATATATTGAAAACTTCAAGCTAATTTACAGTCTATTTCATAGCCTACAATTTGGGTTTTTTTTTTTTTAAGAGTCCAGAAAAGCAGACCCAAAGAAAAAGACACTCAGTAGTTACTTCATTTTTTTCACATATGAAAAATATGATTATGAAAAATTAGCTAAATCCCAAGTGCATATTCAACTAACTAAACTTTTTACTATTCTTATGGTAAAAGTGGCATTCAAATCCCAATTTCAGCAGGGAGTTTGTAAGAATAAGCCATCAGTACAATTACTCAACTTTCAATTTAAGAAAGTCATTATTAGGCCGGGCGCGGTGGCTCACGCCTGTAATCCCAGCACTTTGGGAGGCCGAGGCAGGCGGATCACAAGGTCAGGAGATCGAGACCACGGTGAAACCCCGTCTCTACTAAAAATACAAAAAATTAGCCGGGCGCGGTTGTGGGCGCCTGTAGTCCCAGCTACTCGGGAGGCTGAGGCAGGAGAATGGCGTGAACCCGGGAGGCGGAGCTTGCAGTGAGCCGAGATCGCGCCACTGCACTCCAGCCTGGGCTGGGCGACAGAGCGAGACTCCGTCTCAAAAAAAAAAAGAAAGTCATTATTAAAAATCCATTTTAAAAAGGGATACCGAAGAGAAAGATAAAATTAGATTTGAAAGTAAGACTTGATGCCCTAGCACAGAAGAAATGTATTCACATGAAGTGTTCCAAAAATTAGGTACAATATTACTGTTCTTATATAAATAAAGGGTATAGGTCTTTTTAAAATTAACTATCCCAAATGCATTCAACCACAACAGATTTTTCTAACAATATTTTTACACATCATTAGATCCTGAAACAAAGAAGTTGCAATCCAGTAAAACTGCAACTCTTGTTCTTTCAAAGGAAATTATATGCAAGTTTTCAAGTGGATGCACACAGCAAACAATGATGATGAAAAACTGGCTGGTGCAAAGAGCCTTGAATGTTTTCAATAAACACAACTGTAGAGCATTACAAAAAGATGGGAATGGCAGAATACAATACTTATCACGTACAGTACTCAAGTACGCATTTAAGAAGGTTCTTAATTGCTTGCTCAATTGTGGACCAATAAAGTTATTACAGGATTATAAGAATCAAAGAGGAACAAATGGCGAGAAAAAAAAAAATAAACAAGCCTGAAGGCCATGAATGAGAAAATGCCTACCTCAAGAAAAGCCTGGGTTAAACAGTCATAGAGAGACTAGTGAATGTACTGAGAGCCACCAGAAAATCAGGGAAACAGGATTGAAAAAATAATAATAAAACATTCTATAAATTACATACATCTGGAAAAGTGTCCGTTTAAGACAAAGGATTTGTGTGAGCTCTAAATTACTGAAATTTGTGAAGTAAAAAGTACAGATGGTCCCTGACTTACAACAGTTTGAGTTATACTTTCTTGACTTTACAATGGGTTTATAAGGTATTAAATGCATTTTTAACTTACAATATTTTTGACTTACAGTAAGTTTATCAGGATATAACCTCATCATACATTAAGGAGCATGTTCATACACATTTACTGTGTATACTGTTGGGGCTTAAAAAACAACACTGCAAAATGAATGGTGTTTTGGCATGCTGAACACTTCGAACCATAATAGGAAGGCCTTATAAATTACCTCAGAATCAAGGACTTTCTTCTTTATTTTTTTTCTTTTGAGATCAGAGTCTCGCTTTGTCACCCAGTCTGGTCTCAAACTCCTGGCCTCAAGCGATCTCCCACCTCAGCCTCCCAAAGCGCTGGGATTATAGCCATGAGCCACAGCACACCTATAATCCCAGAATCAAGGATTTTCTAATCTCTCCTGAACTCCCTTCTCTCCACCCCTAGAACAGGGTGAAATTTAACGCCTAATATTCCTTTAGCTGCCTTAAGACCTGGCCCACCAAAGAGGACATAATTGCCTTCCATCCTATCCTTGAAATTTTAGTACCAGGAAAGAAGACTGAGGCATGTAACCATACCTGAAGGGATTTTGTTCTGCCTGTTGGGCTCGAATTACAAAGAAAATCATTTACAAGCTAGTATTTCTACCTCCCAGGTCCATTCATCTTCCCTGAAGTTTGTATTATCTCTCTAAAAATTGCCTACAGCACCCCCTTCAACATTTCCCTCTCCCCACTGGAGTATTTAAGCCTCAACTATCTGGCTCCTCTTTGAGTCCCATATTTTACATGGCTCCTGTGTTTATGCACATTAAGTATATTTGTATTCTGTATTAGCCCATTCTCACACTGCTAATAAAGACATACTCAAGCCTGGGTAATTTATAAAGAAAAGAGGTTTAATTGACTCACAGTTCAGCATGGCTGGGGAGGCCTCAGGAAACAAACAATCATGGTGGAAGGCACTTCTTCACAGGGCAGCAGCAAAGAGGATGAGTGCACAAGCCAAGGGGGAAACCCCTTATAAAACCATCAGATCTCTTGAGAACTCACTATCATGAGGACAGTATAGGGGAAACCACCCCCATGATTCAATTATCTCTACTTGGTCTCACCCTTGATGCATGGGGATTATTACAATGCAAGGTGAGATTTGGGTGGGGACACAGAGCCAAACCATATCATATCCCTTTTTCTCTTATTAATTTTTTTATTGTCAGTCATTTCCACAAAGGTTCAAAGAGAGTAGAAGGGAAGCTTTCCCTCTCCCACTATAATACAACAAACAAATGACTTCCTAAGAATCATCATGCGTGCTTTCAGTTTAAAATTTCTAATGTTTTCTCAAGTGCATTTTATAACTACTGAGGTTTTTGTTTTTCCAAGGAAGGAAGAGGCATATGCAAATTCTCACTGGCAATCTCTAGGATTGAACATAGTTTTATCAGCAAGATGTTATCTCTGCAGAGAATGTCTAGAACATAAACATTAACTGTGAGAATGATTTCTCTATTGAAGCATTTTATCTGATTGAACCTAAATTGATACCTGGTTCACTAACAAAAGCTCTAAAGAAGTATCTGCTTATAAATTCTCTCTACTCAATATCCATCAAGGGCCAATTTAAAGCATTTCAGATATATTTTGAGTACAGAATATTTTACCATAATAAAATGAACAGACTACAATTATTGAACAAGGTAAATTTCTGATGATTTTATTTCAAAGTAAAGTACACAGGCAATTGGACCCACTTTACCAAATTTCATCCAGGATTTCCTGAAATAGAAAGAAAAACTAACTATGTCAGTCATAAGCTCTTTATTTTTTTAGTACTTGTCTACCTAGAGTAAACTCAAAGGGGGTCTAAAAAGATGGCCTTTATATAAACTATAACAGAATTTACTGTTAATAACTTGGAGTATTTGAAATAGTCAAGGATTTTGCAATTTTTTTATTTCTTACTCTTCAAAGCTTGTCCTTCCTTTTCCATCCTCAACCTTTCCTTTTCTGTCTTCATTTCTATTCTCTACTCAACAGTCTTACCTCCTCCAATAATTTCCTTTGTTACTATCAAACCTCCATTTTCAAAGTATCTGGCATCAGAAATGAAATCTTCAAAATTAAGGAAAATGAGGAGAAAACATTCTTCCCAATGCTTCCTTTCCACTAGGGCTCACACCAGATGTACTCACATGCACACATTTCTATGCAAGTTGCTTCCCTCACTTAGAACACTCCACACCACACTCTCCTGCCACTTGATACACCCAATCACAAAAAGACTTCCAAATCAGCCCATTTTTCAAGGTCCACCTCAGTCCTTCAAAATGTTGTCTATACTATTCCAGCTCATGGTGCTCTTTCCTTTCTTATCCTCATAATCGGCATACTTTTTAATTACATAATCTCAAGATAACATACAGAATTATTGAGAATACTAACATCAAACAGTTTGGAGTTCATTTACTAGCACTGTGATCTTAAGTAAATCATTTCTCTAAGTCTCAATTTTCTCAGCTATAAAAATGAGGATAGTAAGACTTTGGCACACTTGCTCATAGGGTTTTTATGAGAATAAGGTAATTCATAGAAAGTGACTGGTACAGAATAAACATTCAATAAAAACCATTTTTATGTTGTCAGCCATCATCCTCCGGCTTTTTGTGTATACTTTAAAAGCCCAGCCAGCTTCTAGGCTCTTAAGGGCAGATTACATCTTACAGATGTTTAATACATACATCTTTATAGAATTTATGACTAAATGATACAATGTTTTATAAATAATGAAGGTAGGGGGCAATTAGAGAAGATTATATGAGGCTGAGGAGATAATCATAGCATGCTGGTGCACAGAACTAGTCCAGGGGTTAGGAAACAATAATTTCACAACACCTTGCAGACTGTCTCATTATGGATCAGTTGTTACTTAGTAGGTTGCAATAATTTTCATGGCACGCTGTGAATACCTCACTCCAGAAAGTATCCAAACTTACCTGATAAACACAGAAGCTATATGTTAATAGATACACTGTTGCCAGAGATTCTTCCTCACCAGCCTGGTGACTCACAGAAAGGATCAGCTGTGGGCAATATGATGAGAAACGCAGCTATCACAGTAGATCTTTAAGTAGAAATTACCCACTTTTATTGGATGCTATAAAACAAATTATCAAAGTCTATCTAGATAACCTCCAAGTGTCTGTGATATATTCCTGATTACTGTTCTTAAAAACTGCAAGAAAACTCCCAAGGTATTCCTCAGTTCACAGCTAAGGCGGATGGTGACCTACAAAAGTTGGGCTCAACGTTGAAAGAGCTGGATTTGTCCCAACTGTGTTACTATGCAAACTTACACAAGCAGGGAGGTTAGCAGTTTGTCAAGCAACAAACAAATGCTATAATGAGCCTACAGTTATTATTTTCACACAACCCATTACCAACTTAAGAAAAATCCTTATTTGTAAATGTACACAAAAAATAAACAAGAATTCCATGTAACCGTGCAAAAGCTTTATTTTATTCCTAGAACACAGGACCACTCAAGGGTCTACTTTTCATCTTTCCTAAGTGGTAAGGGTATGGAACAGCAAAATCAAAGCTCCTATCAAGTGAAGATAGAGTACTCTGAAATTATGATGAATGTTAACGGGAGGAATTATTTCATCCGTTCATTCAAAAATATTTACTGAGCACCTGTATGTCAGGCAGTTCCGGTTGCTGAGGATACATCAGCAAAGCAGAGACAAAAATACTTGCTCTTATGATGTTCAAATTCTAGTGGTGGGTGCACTGGCAAACAAATAAATGAGTGATTACACAATATATGGATTGTTACTGTGTTATGGAAAAAATAAAGCAGGTGGAGGATACGGAGCCAGGAGGTGGGGATCTTCTTATATTGGAGATTAGAGGAATGGTTCTGTGAGGAGGTAGATTGAAAGATACAGGGAATCGAATCTATAAATGTCTGAAGAAGGGGCTTTCCAGGCAAAGGAAACATTAAGTGCAGAGGTCCTGACGCAAGAGCTACGTTTTACGTAAATATTCTGGAAGGAGAAAATTAAAAATATACCTTGGATTTTGGAGTCCTTAGCTCTTTGTGTTTTACCAGCAGAGCATCCTTTATAAAGAAAACAACTTTACCTCTCTTGAACCTTTTCTTCCTCTGCATATTAGAGAACTGACACTACCACGTACTTCAGTTATTTCAAGAACAAAAATTAAGAAATGCACTTTACAGCAACGAGATATTATTACAAAGAGCGCTAAATTAACAACCACGCTTGTCTCCTTGGCTGTCAAATGAAGCTAATGGTGCCCATTTCACAGGGCGTTGCGGGGACTCAACGAGATAACCAATGTAAATATGGCGACTGACACTCAGAAACCACTCAAGGGGTAATCCAGCAATACTACTGTCAACGCGGGGTCTACCAACAATGAGCGGGCAGGGGCTCTCGTTGCTCTGCTCAGTATGAGACGTCCAGGACGAAGCACCTCGAAGCTGCTTCATATGCACTCGCTGAATAAACCGACTGTAAATTCCACTCACTTTAGAGTACTTTGCCAAATTTTTCGCACTTCTACATTCTGCTGGGACATTCCAGCTTCTAAGGACCCAGCTTCACTCTCTAAAACTCTTTCAACATATGCAGGTCTCACTTTAAAAGGTCTTGAAATGGACTTACTACCAGACCGCCTTTCCCTAGGGTTCGTAAAGACCCTTCCAAGTCACCCTCCCGCGCGCCGCGTGCCACACGCCCACCTTCTGGTTGCCGCGACTACACCTCACGAACCTTTCGCGCCCCAAGGCGGCCCTTTATAAAGATGCGGTGACGTCACCGCGCGCCGCGCGTGCGCAAATATGGCAACGTGACCACGCCCTGGCCTGCGCTGAGGCCCCGGCGTCGGCGCAGTAGCTGGTGCCTTCCCGGAAGGGCTCAGAGGCGGGCTCGGTGAGTGGAGTCGGACCGTGGGTGGATGCCCTGACTGCCTGACGGTTGCGCAGGGGCCTGCAGGACCGCTGGGGAGGATGTTGTTAACGTAAAGAGCCAGGTTGATGAGGAAGGTTCATGAGTCCTTTGGGTATAAGCGGGAGTTGGGGCGGCCGGAGGGCAGATGACTCTGAGAAGGTGCGGATCTTCGGTTCTAAGGGAGAATTTGATTTGGTTTTGTCTGAAGTGCTGATAGCGGGCCTCACAGAAAAGTTACCATGAACCGACTTTCCGGGATTCCCTTGGCGCTGCGTTAATTGGCCTTGTTGCAAAAGGAAACCGAGAGGAGGGCGGCGAGGATTGGCCTGCGGTGATGTTAGCTGAAAATATCTGTAATTAGACCCTGGAGGGCGGGCCTGTGAGCGATTGCTGTCCGCGGTGCTGAAGGAAAGGCAGCCATGCCTAGAGGAGGAAACCTAATGAGGGCAGGGCGGTGTTTCCGTTTTCCTTGGCCGGGTTCAGCGCCCTACACTCAATAGGCGTGGGCTTTCTAGCAGGGCTGGACACTCGGGCGGTGTGTCCATCTTTAGACAATCTTTATGGAGTGCATAGATGTTTAATTTCATAAAATTTAGGAAAGCTTCATTTCAGGAAGGAATTTTATTCCTCTTTTTCTCCCTTAGGGCAAGCACTTTCAGCTTATAAGCCCAACCAGATGAGTTGTCTGCAGTTTTGGAGGCCTTCAAAGCATTTCACTAGACCTCTGTCTGTATCGGTCCAATATCTTTAGCCAAGGTGAGCTTGCTCGTTGTGTAAAGTGTGCCATGAAAATGGGCTTTCCTACACTCCACAAATGAGAGTGCTGAGCAGCCAGGGGAAGGGGAAGGTATCTATCTAATTGTGCTTTTCCTCACAGTTACGCATGAAAAGTAATTTCCTATTTAGAAGAGAGATGGTAGAACTGGGCACTCTTCCAATAAAGGAAAGACCTTGAATTTCCAGTTGGTTCTCATACTTGTTTGCCTGCCTTTCTGTCTATGTGTGTTTGCACATGCATAAGCGATGGTGTTCCTGTGTTGAATTTTACAGAGCGGATTTTTTTTCTGTTGATGCAATAAAACGTTTACTAGTCTTAGTACCAGCTGCTTGTTTGTTTTTAATTCTGATTGAGGTTAGAGTCTAGAAAGAAAAGAGGAGACAATACGAAATATGTTGGGTTTACCTAATTCATGGTGTTCTTAGATAAAACTGGCATGCTGAATAAAAATGTGTTTAATCGCGTCCTTTCATTTTATACATTATTACATCTTAAGTTTTCTTTTCTCTTCTGAGAGAACCAATGGATTAAGCTACTAAAATAATCAAATGTTGCAAAGCTGAGGACATGTGGTAGAAGTAACTTTAAATGTTTTTATTCTTTATGACAGCTTTGATTAAAGATGACTTCCTTGTTTGCTCAAGAAATTCGCCTTTCTAAAAGACATGAAGAAATGTAAGTTTTTTTTAAAAGGATGATTCAGATATAGAAATTGAACTAGCTTTGTTAGTGAAATTTTGTATGCACAGGATGACTTAAAAATTTGAAAGCATGTCATTTTAATTTTCTGACACTTAAGAGGTCTTAGTGTTAGGGAATGTCCTTGTTTCTTATGAATAAGCAAGATTAAAAGATATGTTCTATGTATTTTTACTCTTTGTAAGTAATATATAAATAAATTTGCCCCTCCTCCCACCCCTTCTAGGCTCCACATTGGTATTTAATGGGCTTCTCTAAACCTCTTACCCAGGACTGGCTTCATGGGTATATGACTTATATATAGTCATAGGTCTTACATTTGGTTTAATGCTCTCATGCCATTGTTTTGCATCATTTTAGACTGGACCCTCAAATTGTGTAGCCAGTCCTGCTCTTTGTTTTGTATTATTCACTCTTTTCCTCCTCTCTCTGTGGGCTTTCAGGTTTTCCTTTTCTTTAATTAATTACCAGACGTTCTTTCCTTGGCTCATAAGATACTTTCCTTACCAAAAAATTGACTATTCATAGACTTGGGATTTTAATTCCACCTTTAAGACAGCCCGATGAAACACAGTGTTTCTTGAGAATCTCCACAGCTATTTGGGAAACAGTTTGACTGTTGTGTATACCAACTTATGTATCTTTTAATCATCTTACATATTGTCTTAAAAAGAACAAAAATGTATAAAATAAGCATTTGACCAGCAAGAAACTTTTAAAGTATATTATATGTAACAAAGTAGTTTGAAGATATTGACTTGTAATTTTTTACATCTTTCTTCAATTACTGTTTTACCTTGTTGTGAGTATGCATACATACACACAGCCTCTCACTCATATATCAAACCATCATCTTTCTCTTGGAAAAAGAGGGAAAAAATATTTTTATTGCTTCTTCAAACATATGGAAGTTTAGCACAATTCTAAATGTGTAACATGAGATTCAGGGGTACTGAAGTGTTAAGCAGAAGGTTTCATATAGCAAGTTATATCAATGTATGTGTGTCGGGAGGTATATATAACTATGTGTACAAAGGGATATGTATTACAGTTTGCATTTTCACCAAAAATTAAAACATATCTTCAACATTCTAAAATAATTTCAAAAGACCAGAGAGGCTAAAAAAACAGAAGCATGTACTTATGGCATATATAAAGAATATGTTAATGAAAATAAAAATGATTTTAACCAGATTGACTTAAGACTTATTGAACTACCTCAGATTTTTCACTGTCTTATTAGTTGACATAGTAATTGACTTTTAGAATAGGTTAGAGTTGAAGTGAGGTGTTATTAAGAAATGAATTTTTTATATTGGTCAAGCAGTAAAATGTTTGCTTTTAATTTTTTAACTCTATAATCTTCATTTTTTTCTAGAGTATCACAAAGATTAATGTTACTTCAACAAATGGAGAATAAATTGGGTGATCAACATACAGAAAAGGCATCTCAACTCCAAACAGTTGAGACTGCTTTTAAAAGGAACCTTAGTCTTTTAAAGGTAAGTTTCCATGACTTGAATATAGAAATTTATCCCACCTCCTCAAAAATCTTTTAGGTAAGTTTCATAATATTGATTTATATAATTTATTGGTTCTGAGTAATAAGTAGAATTACTAAAGCAGCATCTTTTTTAAAAGCCCATGTCAGTTAGATAAGTAACATATGTATCCTCATTTTTTTAAATTAAAAAAAAATTGAACTCTGTTTGCAATCAACTAGAAAATCAATGACTACAGAAGGAAGTGTAAGGTCACCCTTTTGCAAGAAGTAAGAAATAGAAGATGTACCTTTCCATCTTTCATCTTCTTTTATTTGAAAGGAAATCCTGAAAGGCCATAAAGTACCTATAAGCTATTGAGAGCCAACTCACAACTATCAAACATCATAAAAACAAGAACAATTTGATTTTGCCTGACTAGGCAAACACACAGAATTCATATCTATGATAACAGATTTCCCAGCTCCCTCTTGATGGATATGGAGGAGTGGTCAAAGTGTATGATTGTGCGGGGCCTCACCATTTGGCCAATGTGCCCATTTGGAGTAGAATCATATGTGTAACATTTTTGGCTGCTTGTTATACTTTGCTTCCAGAATTGTATGGCTTCATCCATAATTAAAACCCTAAAGTTTGCTTCCATTCAAGCTTCCAAGAGATCCTATGACTAAAACATTTGGTAGTAAGACTATATTATTTAAGTTATAAAGCAGTGTTTTCAGTTTTTTATTGTTAAATATTTTCATCGATAGGCATGATATAGTTATCTTCTGTCCTCACTAGAGGATAAAGGAAGAGGAAAATTCAGTTATCTTCTCAGCTTCTGGCAGTTTGATCCACAGTAATTTAAGTCACAGCCATAGTGCTACCAAAGCATTCTATATTGCCATATGTCTTACTTGCCCAATGGTGTTAGCAATATTTATTTTTAAATGGAAATATATAGGATAATCTGGAATTTGCTCTGAAAAGTTAGAAAAACTAAATTAGAAGGCTTAATTGCTACCTACCTGCAGCACGTGATATGATATTTAGTTTTCAAGCATTTTCCTTTTAATGAGCAAGTATTTGATGAATGCTTAGAGGGTCCTTACTGTTGAGCTAGTTCTGGGCAGAAAGTAGGGACAACAAAATAAGTATAAATCAGAGCTCTTGATATCAAGAACCCAGAGACTTTGTGTGATCAAACATTAAATTACATGGAATAGAGTCAGGACTACAGAAATAAGAATTTAAAAAATCTTTGAGAGCTAGAATATTCAAAAAGGTCTCAGAGAAGAAGCTAAGCCTAGCCTGTATTTGAATAGGCAGAAGGCAAGGCATACTGTTGGATTCTTACAAAAGAGCCAAGACCAGAAGACTGAATGACCCTGTTAATCCTGGGAGTGTGACTAACTAGCTTAGAAATTCACAGGAAACAAGGTTGGATATGTGTTATCGGACCAAAGAAGTTGAGACTTGATGTATAGACATAATTCAGTACTGAAAATGACTAAGCAAAAGAAAAATATAGACTTATGTAAGAAATAAATGAGTGGGTATTTAAGGAAGATTCATTTGCTATTTAGATGCAAGATGATTTCAAAAATGGAGAGAATAGAGTTCAGAAGGGTAGCTAAGAAATCATAGTCATACATATATAAGGAACATAATGAACCTGGTTTCACAGTTATGAGAAACTTCAATTTGGTATGATATTTTTCCCCTGATTATCAAAGTGAAATATTCCCACTGTAAAAAAAAAAAAAAAAATTAAAGGGTAAAGAAGACGAAATAGCATACCTTCCATATCATCC